ATATATCAGTGATCATAAGCAATTTTCACCAAGTTTTATATGATGTTATTAGAAATATAACAGGTAGAAAATTTAGTTTTATTGAAACAAAAATTATATTAAATTCCTGACCAAAGTTTTAAGCATAGTAAAAAAATTAAGCTAATATGACAATATTATTTATTAGAACCAGCATTTCACAACAAATTTCTGAAAGTTTTGAAGCAAAAATTAATCTAGTAACTGACATACACAGAAAATCTATCCATATGGACAAGTATGCCTCCACTTAAATAGTTTAATCCTTTTTCAGTATGGCTGGATGATACAAATGCTATCTGTTCATTACAAATGTGTTTTGGTTGTTACCATCAAATGAGATATGTTTGAATGTACTTATAAAAAATATGGATATCATCAGTGAGGGAAGGAAACCATATAATTCAAATCAATGTCACTTAGAGGAGCTAGAAGAGAAAAACAATGAGTGAGAAAGTAAGGAGGATTATGTAAAGGTTTGACTTCAAGGCAGCTTTTAAAATAAAGTGAACTTTGAGAAGAAACCATAATTAAATAGTGGTGCAAACAAGAATTCCAGAATGCAAAACATAGTCTACAATTTACCATGTGAATATGATAAACTCTGAGTAGGTGAAATGAAGCAACTTATAGAAGTATAAACCAAAGAACATCAAGGAGTATCAGACTAATTGCTTCAGAGAAGTCAGCTGTAGGAGATCCCATCTGGGAACATGATCATTATTTTGTATGAGGAAAGCTGCTTAGATAAAGAAAGTACACCTACTAATACCTAACAAAAAAAAATCAGAGGAACCAGTACAATTAAATCCAACAGAAGCAAACCATGTCAATATCTAATTCAAAATGGGGTCAAGCTTTAATAAATGTAGCATGAATTTTTTTTGGCTTAATTACATAAGTAAAAGTCAAAGCAGCTTATTGTCAGTTAATACATTGTATCATTTTATAATCTTTGGTTATATCTATAATATCTAATATAAATAAATGTACTGGATAAACACATATAATTGTGCAATTAGTTATATTAAATAAAAAGATAAATTACCTTCAAAATATAAGTGAATGTATAAAATATTGTTTGTATAAGTTATTTTTACAAGTTCTTGTATTTCTGTGCATTACATTAGACTTCACTATTATTCTTTCTGTAAATATGTTGTTCATGTGCTTTCACTACAGATTTCCTAAAGTTTTGTTCTTATCAGTTAGACTGAAGACAGCTGTAAAAAAGGAATTAAAAGCTTGCTAAATAACTATTGAATGTGGAAATGAAAATCCAGTTACATATATGTCCCATTATATATGAGGAAAAAGAAAAGAGAAATTATAATCTTCAAAATTATTCGGGGATTTTGAATGTTTCACTTTTATTTCAATGACAATTTCCAAAATTTAGTTGGTTTACTAACCTTAGTGTAATAAACATGCCAGTTTAACTGCTTTAAAGTATTGTATAGTTGATTTTATAACAATGATTTATTATTCTGCCAGTTTAACTGCTTTAAAGTATTGTATAGTTGATTTTATAACAATGATTTATTATTATGCCAGTTTAACTGCTTTAAAGTATTGTATAGTTGATTTTATAACAATGATTTATTACTATGCCAGTTTAACTGCTTTAAAGTATTGTATAGTTGATTTTATAACAATGATTTATTATTATGCCAGTTTAACTGCTTTAAAGTATTGTAAAAAAAGTTATTTATTTAAAGCTGCCAATGTTACTTACTATTGTGTTTTTTAGGCTAAAATTCAGCCCACATGTGGTCGAATGGTTGGATTTTCAGCTGGTGTGGAAAACTTGCATGGAGTTGAAGCTGTCACTAGGGGTCGTCGTTGTGCCCTAGGTATGTGGTACACCCTAGACTCCAAGCACAAAGAGGGAGACCGAGACTTTGCTGAGCAGGTCTTACACAAATTAGTGGTAAGAACTTCAGAAGAAGAAAATCAAGGTGAAAAAACAAAAATACATTTTGATGATGATAAAAAATCCCCAAAAAATCAACAAAATAATGAAAATGAAGATAATGTATTCACTTCCACAAATCATCTAAATCCTCCCCCTGTGACACAGGAAAGAAAACAAGATAAAAGAAGAGACCAACAAATTCATGAAGACCTATAATAGTTCTTCGAGGATATATTTACCTGGGAAAATCAAACTTGGAAGCCATTATTCCAAAAGAGTGAAGATATTATCAGCTATGTATTATTCTTCTAAACATTATGAACTATTACTCCAAAGATATTTTTTAAAGGTAAAAATTTTATTTTGTATTTAAGCTCACCAGATTTTATGAATATGTTTTAAAGTTGAAAAAATTTGTCTTACGCCATCTGCCAAGTGAACCAACACTAAATGAAGTACAAAGTCTCAGTTATACAGCCTCTGCAATGCCGTAACTTTGAAACTTTATTTTCACATATGAATATAAACTGTAATAGCAAATAAGTATATAAATGTAGAATATAAAAATACTATTCATGGAATGAAAATACAAATATGGGTACACAAAAATTTTATTGTAATAGTAATGTTTTGAGGATATTTTTTATTTTCTGTGTACTTACATTTTGAAATCAGTAATTGATTCAAAATTTATTCTAAATGCATTTAGCTATTCTTGACACATTTACTGAAAGGGAATACAGATTTTGCCTCATGCATGTAAAAGTTACATGAAAAGTAAAACTTTTTCAAAAGCTTACAAAAACGATACATTAGTCGGTTTTCAAACACTGTACATTGTCCAAGATCAGATTTTCACTGTATGTATACTCTTTCAAACTTTAAAGTTGTAGAATGAACTACTGACCTAAATAATGTATGAGATTTTGTACTAAGTTTATGTTATTGAAAGCATACATTCACGTTTACTTTATCCACTCTTTTTATGCCTGTGAAATAATTTTGTAAACATTTTATTAATATTTTGGTATGGATTTTAAATGTTTTGTTGACATTGAGTAGCCATGAAAATATATAAATTTTTTATATGATTACAATATACCCCTTCTTCTACCCCCAGTTGTTTTTTGTAGCATTTAATTTTGACTTGTGATTAAAATACAGCAATCTCTAAGACATTTTAATCTTGTCTCTTGATGGTATTGCCTTTAATTTTGTTTTATTTCTATATCGTAATGAATTATATTAAAAACTAAAATGGTGTTAAACGCAATACTTGTCTATAGAGTTAAATGTTACTTATTTCATGATAAACTCTGTGCTTACCTTAAAGGTGAGCAATCACTTCTGGTTTTCAGAAAATAAAAAAGTTATACGATTCTAACTTGTCAAATATTTATTAATCTTGAAGCATAACAAAAAAGTATACCATGAAATTCAAAATTGATTACAGTTTTGCAAACTTTAAAAATTTTAACTTTATAAAATGTATTGTTTATATAAATGTTGTTTATTAAAAAGCAATAATAGATCATAGAGCAACTCTAATCTATCTGCTTTTATATCTCTTCATTAAACACAGTTATTATTATTTTGTAGGTAAATCCAATAACTTTCTAAGTAATTCTTTAGGAAATTATTTTAGATTAAAAACAAAAATCAAATGTTTCATCCAACAGTATATTTGTGAATAATTATTCAATATTTTAATTTAGCTTGCATATAATATAGAAATTAAAGGTTTTTAAAAGATTTGAAGAAACACTTCTAGAGAAGGTTATTTCACTCTGGATAATGACTTGTTAGAAAGATTTTCTCAGGTTTTTGTTAACCAAAAATGTATAAAGAATATTTTTGTATTCTATTAATGAAAACAGATTTCTTCTTGAATGTGTTTTAATGCTACATATTTTATTACATTTAAGTAATTCAGCCTTTGATATTTTAAAAACTGTATTAGAATATTCAATGATAGTCTGGGTCACATACATTGCCTTGAACAGTCGGATGGGAATATTATATCAGAGTAAGTTATGAAAGTTAAGTTTGATTATTTGAAAAAGAAAAATTCATTAATACTGAAATTTTGATAATCTTTATATGACTTGTGATATAAAGAAATTGTATTTTTTATTTCTTCTGAAAAACGTTTTTGAGCTTTTCAAACATATTTCACTGGCATTTCAGTGTTTATTAAACACTGGTGATTTGTTTCAAAAACTTGAAATCACATGTTTTCTTTAATTATGATAATAGTTTATTAAAAAATGAAAATATTTATGTATTACTGTGACCTGAAATCATCTATAATCCATTAAAAAGCTAAGGTTAAGCATGTTGAATATGATCTAAGGAATATGGAACTCTTTAAATATTAAATCTCATCACCTCAGAGGTTTTAAGGGGTTATTTTAGGTGAGGAGAACTTGGATTATACAACATAAGTTATGTCACTATTTTACTATCCTTCTAGTTGCAAGTGCTAGAGTTTGAAATTTCCTCCCTTACTGTTAAACCTTAATTAATTTAAACTTTCAAGTTGGATATAGAAAACAAAGTGTAATTGAACTTTAGTATCAAAAGGTAGAGGTATTCTAACTGTATGTTTCTGTTTCTTCTTGGCACATTCTTAGTGTAGCATTTTATTTAGCTTTTTCAAGTTCATGGGTGCCCACAGAAACATTTTCAGGGGGATGGAAAACATGTATGTAGGGGATCAGCTTTTACGGTGTAGGTCAACTGGCTAAAAGAAATTTACAGGTTTAATAGAAATTGCTAAAATATTTAGTTTAACTGTGATGTTAAGTTTACATCAGATTACGTGCAATTTTTTTAAGAAATGTGAGAGGGGCAAATGCCCCCTCTTGCCCCTTCCTGAGGGCACCCATGTTCAAGTTTCAATTTTACTTATTGTGAAATAAGATGTTATGATAATTTGTTGCTAATAGAAAAATTAATGAAAGAGAATCAAAATTTGTCACTAAAAAAAAGAATGAGTTTCTTCAGATTAATTCCATCTTCCATGTGCAATAATAGTATGTTTTCTAGAATTTTTGATATTTGCCTATTGTTGAAATATGTTCTGTTTGTTAATGACTATGTATTTATGTATATTAAAATTGAAGTTCCCTAGATTCAAATGTTTATGTCAGAGTTGAAAATTTTCCCATTTAATATAATTGTTTTTTTTTCGGAGCATAGGTAGGCTAGCCCTGTGGTAGAGCTGTGAATTTCAGAGTTGTTGACTCTGGTTCATGTATATTAAAATTTAAGTTCTCTAGATTCAGATATTTATGTCAGAGTTAAAATTTTTTATCTAATATAATTGTTTCTTTTGTGGAGCATAGGTAGTTGGCCCTGTGGTAGAGCCGTGAATTTCAGAGCTGGTGACCCAGGTTCAAATCCGTGCAATACCACAAAGTATTCCATGCACTTTAAGGTTTGGGTGCATTATAAGTGTGACACTCAACCCCATAGCATGAATGATAGTTGATGGGTGCTGTTGGCTGGCTGTCTTTCCTCTGCTCAGTAGTTAAGAAGTAGAGATGGCAGCAAGTAGCCTTAATAGATTTGCCATAAATACAAAAAATACAGTTTCTCTTGCAACGAAGGAAATAGCTTTCATAGGCAAAATAAAAAGTATTTAGAATTCTTGCAATTTTCAGTTGTTAATTATAGAGAAAGTTGATAATTATTTCTGCCAATTCTGAAATGTGAATCACAAATGGAAGATTATTTTACTGCTTCTAAATTTTACGAGGACTACATTTACAGATATTGTAAAATTCAGTGAGAGATCATAGAGGAAGAAACTAGTTACAAATCTGAGCTCAATCTGACCTTGGAATTTAAGAATTTATTTTTACCTTTTTAAAACTGAAGTTTTTACAGTACGTGCTTACTTAAGATATATAGAACTTCTTAATGTTTCAGTTTTGAAGTCTTAATGCAGATAATGTAGGACAGACTTGAAATATTTACCAAGAAAGGCAATCCCCTCAAGTATATTTAACTTCTAATGGCAGCATTTGTTCTATGAAATACAATATATATATATCTATGAAACATGTTTTATCTTATCATTTTTAGTTTTACTTTCATTTATGAAATTTACAATTTGTATATGTTTTTTTTTACTAATATGTATTTCAATATTTTAGACATTTACATTTTAATCTGTGAAGAACATTGAAACTTTGAATATGTTCATGAGGGTTTGATATACAATCCTTTAACATACAAATTCAGTGTTAAGCTTGTTTTAGCAGGCCCTGTGTTTTGCAGTGGTAGAAATATTTTATTTAAGAATCACTCTCTGAAATTTAAAGCCATTTTACAAACAAAATCAGCTACTGAGTAATAAGTAAAATCTACCAAGGACCCTTCTAGTTAGGTTTTTACTAGTGACTCTTTCTCTGTATGGTAATCTTTGAGCTCTGTTGGTATTCTGTTCACAAGTCAGTAACTACTGATCATTACCATACAGAACATATTTATTACCTCATCATATATTGGAATTTTTATACCGAAAATATGTAATTAAATTTGTCAACTTTACAGTGAGTTTGTGAGATAAAAACGAAATATTAACATTACCATGATTTTTCTAATATTTGTGCTGTAGGTTGCCTTTTTCTATGAAAATGTGCATTTTTCTAATTGTTTTAATTATATAAACTTCTACTGTATTTCTATTGGATCTAATAAAGCCACATTTATCTCCTTTGGAAATGTGTTCTTTTGGTGATAAGATTTTAAGTAAAAACGTTTGACGTAGTAGTGAGTTATATATGGTACCATTTGGTTCTTCAAAGCCCTCCATACACAACCATTCACTCCCTTGATATAATCCTTCCATCTGCAAAACCATCCTGATATTTCTCCTCTAAACTATTTTCAATAAACATGTATCCTTTCTTAGATAAGGAAACCTAAATTATATACAACATTACAAGTGAGGCCTAACTAGTGACATATAGAGAGAGATAATGATCTAATTAGCTATTGCCCTTATTTCCCTCAGAGAAGCCTGTAGGTTCCATAAAATAAAAGGAGGAGAATTTGCCATATACTATTTCATGGAGCAGTGTTTATATTTACTCTACCTTTGACTGAGTCTTTACAAGAAAGAGACTGGATTAAAGGTTTATAAACAGTCAAGATTTGACACTTGAACAAGTGCTTGTATGTTTGACAAGAGAGAACTTTATTTGTGCTTTCTTGTCAGTATATGTTCAGCTCACAGATGCTGAAGGTGAATCAAGTTTAGCTAAAAGTTGTCTAATGATAGACCTGACTCAGAAACCTGTTACAAAACATTCTAATTCATTCTGGTAATCCTGTGGCTCAATGGTAAGCCATGTGGGGCAGAAAACAGATAACCCTTTATTGTAGCTTTGTGCTTAACAACATACAAACAAGTCATTTTGGTAACCACAAAGTTTATATGGAAATATCTGTGGTTGTATCAGATCTAGTAAATATAATAATAGTCCTTTCAAATAAACAAAACATTGAAATATATACAAGGCTTCCACTTTTTCTAGATGCATGTGCTATCTATGTGACTGAGGGACATTCTCATGTCAAAAAAGGGGAGTTACAACCTTAGACTATCACAAGGCTCGCCAGCAAAGCAAGTCAATTTCTGCCTATAGCATCTTTCATGCTACAATAATCATCACTAACAGATGACACATCCATGGTGACTCAGCTAGTGTTATGGTTAATTAAGAAGAGACAAACTTGGTACTCCACATGACTGACGTTCTATATTAAAAAACAAACAAACCTGAAATATACTGAGAATTTGAAAGATTTATCTTGTAATTAAGGGGTTATAAAACATATGATACACCCACAAATTACACTTTTCTTTCTTTGTAGGTGAACCTAGTTATTTCTAACTTTAAAAAACTCAAAAACAATGAAAATTTAACTTGCTCTCACCCCAGTAAAATTATTTTCTCTACAGCACATGCTAACCATATTAGTAAAACCATTCACAAAACTAATACAAAAAAAATAAACATAACACAATATACCTTTTAACAATGTGACATGCTTCAAAATGAACTCTTTAACACATATCACAAGGTGATAAAAAAGAAACCGTTTAAGGAAGTAATACATGGTTTACTCTAACAAAGATAACCAAATACAATACAAAACTGAACCTCTTCATAATGAGTTATCATGCACAAAATAAAAAATACTTTAAACAATAATGATAGCATAAATAAAAACAAAGCACAGTCAAGTGAAATATACACAAGAATGTGTCTTTAAAATGTATAAGCTGAATGAAAGAACAGAAATTAAATATATAAGAACAATTTACATAGTTTATAGAAAAAGCACAGCTGCTTACTTATTGAAACCCCAAGAGCAGGTCCTCCAATACAGCAGATGTTTGTAGTGTACCATGGTGATGTAGTGGAGGACCCTCTAAGTTGCCTTCTTAGTCTTAGCCAGCTCATCGTGGAGTTAATATACCTTTTTTGAGCTTCAGCAGATTATTTTCTTCTCAGTTATAAAGAACCCAGACCTCCATCCACCTGGCTGTCTGCTTTTAACTCTAGAAATTTAGAACCTAAATCTGCTACAGTGTGAGATACTTTGCTATTTTGGTTGGGGTGAGCAGCTCTACCTTTTCTTGTGGCAAGGTCATCATTCATGGGATGCTCCCTTATTGCTTTCCAACCATCAATGTGGATGCTTTCTCACTGATTATTATGTTCATAGCCACAGTACTTATAGATGGGGGATTGAACTGCTGGAGATCTCCTGTTGAAAGACTTCTTGGTGCTTAGAACCTTTCTTCTACTTTGAGGTCTTAATTTCTTAAAAAGCCCTCCTTGCCTGGGGCATGTGATGATTAATAGGAGGTAAAAGCATAGGACATGACATCTCCACTTTTCTACACTACAACTTTGTAGTGGGTACACTTAGATTGTCCTTTGGTCCTCACGTGCTGCTCATATCTGGGATTTCACTTTGGAAGTTGGTCTCACTGGTTGGACTGCAATGAGGTTGATCATCAGCTGGTCAGATCCATCTCACATGTTCAGCTTTGCCGGTATATGCTGCAGTTTCTGTTGTCTAGCCTTGATGGTCTATAACTACAGTACAGCACACCTTTATGTACTCGTACAAGTGCCACATTTGCGCTACATTCCTCAATCTGAGCTAGCCATGCTATGTGATTGTTTCACAAAAACCAAAGATCTTCCGAATAAATTTTAGAGCCTTGTAAATAAATTGATCTTGGATATTTATATTCATAATATATTGCAAATTTCCAGTAATCTGGTGTTTATTTTTCTCATTTGTAAATAACCAGCATTAAAAGCTGATGTGCAATTTATTATTAAATCTGAATGTAGCCAACTGGCCAGTGTGCCGGACTGTGGATCTTAAAGTCCAAGGTTCGAGACACTATGCTGCTGAACATGCTCTGTACTTTCAACTGTGGATGCATTATAAAAGTGACAGACAATTCTGCTATTCAGTTCAAAGAATTGGATAAAGCCATTTGGGTAGTCGGTGCTGCTAACATGCTTCCTTCCTTTGGTCAGTAGTTAAAAATTTGGGACGGGTATACCTAAACCCTAAGAGTCTCGAACCTTGCTTTCTAGCCCATATATGCATAAGGAGCAGTTCAGGTTGAAGGTAACAGTTCTAAAACAGTAAATCTAAGAATTCATTATTCTTTCAGTATTTCTAATAATTCTTTATGCCTCTTTATCATTTATTTCCTCAAAAGGAGGCCGAAAGCCGACTAGAGGGGTCACCTGTTTTAACCACTCGTACCACTCAACTATAGTGTGTTGTCTGTCAATCAGTAGACACTAAAGTGACGTCACATAATGGACGCTTAACGTTGCAATTTGTACTGTTGTGACGTCAGTAAAACGTGCGCATTCCTTGAATCACTAGAAGAATTATACACTCTGTAGGCTACACACAGCATGATATATGAATTTTGGTTTTATTTACTTTCGAAACAGAACGTTTTCTGGGATCTTGTGGTAGTACATCTAGGAGAGTAGTACATATGCATAATTCCTTTATTTTTATTTTCCTTTTGACTAAACGTATTTATATAATTATAAAAAAGAAGTTTCTAAAAGATTGGATTTCAACTTATTGAATATTCTTTTAAACTTTCCCCAAGTATTTACTCAAGGCACTCTTTTAAATTCACTTTAAATTGATTTTTTTAAATAATTTTATGCATGAAAATTTATTTGAACGGTTACTTTCTTAAACGAATAAGTTCGTGTTTGTTTTTCTCTTAAAGTTACTTTAATAACAACTACTTTAATAAATATTGAAATATCTTAATATATATTTATTACACAGCGCTAAAGTTTGTATGTGTACCACGTACTTGTTCAGAAAAGCCCCCTACACACACACACGTATAGTGGCACAGCGGTATGTCTGCGGACTTACAACGCTAGAAACCAGGTTTAGATACCCGTGGTTGGCAGAGCACAGATAGCCCATTGTGTAGCTTTGTGCTTAACTTCAAGCAACATCAAACTGTTCAGAAAAAAATAAGACTTTATAGGAGATTTTACCATCATGACAAATAGTTTTTTGTTTTGTTTTTCAAATTGGGCTTAGTCGATTGTATCTCACACTAACGAAAGAGTGAAGTTAATTAGAACACTAAGTTCAACACTTTCACAGCCAAAATTTGGACCGCAGAAGACAGGTAGAAGTGTCTTAACTTGTTTCCGCATACACTTGTGTTCTTGCACTGTGTATTTACCTACTTATATAATTAGGTAAGTATACCGGAGTCAGGAAGTAGCAATTCGAATTGACGGAGAAGTAAACAGTTGGTTTGTAGTTAAGAGAGGCGTAAGACAAGGATGTGTGCTGTCATCGACATTATATAGCTTGTGTGAGAAGAAATTAACGGAAGTAGCATCTATAATAATGAGTATACTGATGTTAGAGCACTTACGGTTTGTTGATGAAAGAAAAGCTGTGGGCTCAGAATAAATCTCAATACAACTAAGACAATGGTAATATCCCGACTCGAGGAAGTTCCCATCAAAACATAAGATAAACATTTGGAACAAGTAGTGGGTCTAACTTATCTAGGGTCGAGTATCAGTAGTGATGAAAAATGTGGAAAAGTGGTAAAGCAAAAACAATATTTTTCAATATTAACGAATTGCTCAAACAAGAACTGAAGAAAAGAATACTAAAATGGTAAGTACGGTCAGTCTTACTCTAAGGGGTGAAAATTTGGGCCTTGCCTACTGAAGGTCGGCTATATAGAAATAATAATAATGACGAAGTATGGGAAAGTGCCAAGACAAAACAAAAGGCTACTGCTAAACACATGTAGATAACAGAAGATGTGCAACATTAGATCCAAGGGGAGGTCGACAGAGATTCTGAAGGGTAAAATCGAAGGAAGAAAAGAGAGAGAGAGAGAGGCAAGAAAAAAAGCTCACTTGGCTCGATGACATTATAAAATGGATTGGAGATGAGAAGCTTGTACTAGAAGAGTTAATTCAGGCAGCGATCGATCGAAAACAATGGAGAATCATAGTGGATACTCCTCAGAAGTGTAAAGGACAGTGGTATTGTTGAAAGTTTGTCTTACAAACAATACTAAAGCGATTTTTGTTTCGAAACATGACATGCTTAAATTATTTCATGTATATCTGGTATTTTATTTGTTTTGAAACTGTGAACGATTTTTAGGA